ATACCTCTCTATTATACTTATGACCCTCTGCCTTTCTGTTTCTGTTTCTCTCTATTCTCTCGCACTCTTGCATCTTTTCTTGTCCTAAGCACCACCGCCATTGTCCACGACGCTGGAGTCACCTCCACTTCGCACCGTTGCTTCACCTCTGTCAATTATGTGGTCTGCTCCACCTTTGTCGCCGTTCTCTCTCTCTTCTTGTCGCCGTTACCTCCTCCGTCTATTCCTCTCATCTTCGTAGTCCTTTTCTGTCGTTTGTCGCAGTCATCGTTATCCTCTTTCGTCGTCCATCGCCGCCGATCTCCTCTATTGTTCGTCGTAGTCACCATCGCTTCCGTCATCATCTCTCTCTCTCTCTCTCTCTCTGTGTGTCACACACTTAGATACACATATCTTAGATCTGTTTAATAATACATAGGGATCTCAACTCTGTGTTGATGATAACACTCAGATTTCATGTATGTGTGTATGTACATATATGTGTGTGTCTCTATTTGTCTCCATTTTTTTTTTGGGCAGTTGATCTATTATTGTTGATGATTTTGTTGTTGATGTTGAAAATGAAACAGAGTGGGGATGATGTTGTTGTTGATGATGTTATTGATAATGTTGATGTTGAAAATGAAACAAATTGCTTCTTTTTTTTTGACAAGTTCCTCATCGGGGATCGGTGCCGGGGATGGAAGAATTTTCACTACTGGGGATTAGGGATAGAGAGTGTGATTTTCGGCTCCGCCTTAGCCTATTGCCATCCCTACTTTTACTTATTAGATTTTAGCATTAATTAGGTGTACAAGTATATTACTATGGCATTTTTTAAAAATAGTAAAGAAGAGTCACGCATCACATGAAAAAAAAACGATGACGAACATATGAAAGAGAAAAAACTGAACGTAAATATTATTTTTAATTATATAATTATATATATGATGTATCTGTTTAATTTAGTTTATATTTATAATTTATAATGAATTCATTTGAAAAGTGAATATTTTAGTTTTGTTTTGATTTTTTACAAAATGACGTGTATAAAAATAGAGACCAATGTGATTGAAACTTTTAAATTTTAAATTATTTTAACCAAGAACCATCCCAAACGTAAATTAAAAAAATTTTAATTTTAAAAATTATATGAATGATATTTTTTTTTTTTAATTATTAACTTTTAATTTACCGTAAATTACACCAAACAACATTTTTGTTAGTTCTTCTTCGGAGTGACTTGTCAACAACTAATAATTAAGTAATGAAAAAAAAAGAAAAAGAAAAAAAGAATAAGATAGAGAGACCATAATTGATTTTCCAAAATGATTAATTCACAATTCAAAAGAATTCGGTACAATTTCTCTTTGCGCAAATAAATCTCTATCTCAGAGTCTCTGTTTTCAGGCCAAAGAATAAACAATGAAAGCAGTAGTATCAAAACCCATTGTAGCCTTGACACCAAAACTGGACATCTGGGTGATCATCTCTTGAATCCGAGAGTGGCTCTCACTCTCACCGTTGTGCGCGTGGTGGTCGTCATCGTGATGGTCATTGGCGGAGTTGGAGGGTGGGTGATAATATAACCGCGCTGTGTGAGGGCAGTGAGAGTGAAACCTGGCTGCTACTCTCAATATCTCCTTATAAACCCCCATTAATATAGATATTGATACTCTGTCTCTATGTAAATATCTAGAGAGAGAGAGAGAGAGAGAGAGAGAGCTTCCCAGATGTAAAATGGGGGAAAAAGAGTTGATTTGGTTGTGTTGTGATGACTATGTGGTCTCTTATATAGGTCCCGGTCTCCTCTGGCATACTCTTTCTTTGCATCATGTTCCACTTTCCTTTCCTCTCTTTCTTGGCCAATTCTTCTTTTCATTTGAGTCCTTTGTTTTACCTTTTTGTTTTTGCAATTTTGTCCTTCTAATTGTAAGTTTTTAATTGTGTTATTTACACTTTAACCCCTTAAATTATTAAAAAATATTAATTTAATCTCTCAAATTATAAAATGGTACAAATAAATCCCTAAACTATTAAGAAAAGTTAAACATGTCAATAATTTAGGAGGTTTATTTATACATTTTTATAGTTTGAAGGGCAAAACAATACTTTTAAATAATTTAAAGAATTTAATTATATATTTTTATAATTTAAAGAATCAAAAGATACTTTTCAAGAATTTAAGGATCTTTATATAAATAGTGCTTTTTAATTTGACCCAGCATGTCTTACGAATTAATGTTGACAAAGTATCCTTTGATTTTTCAGTCATTTAACCATTTTTGTTGCAACGTTCACATTTCAAATTCGGGTTATTTTATTTGTGAAATAATATGATATAATAATTACATTTATGTATTTTATTTTTATTTATTTATTATGTAATGTGTTATTAATAGACTTAAGTAATGATATTTATTAAATTAATTACATAAAAATTTATAATATCAAATATAAATGTAATCATTATAATATTATTTTAAAAAATATATATATATATAATATAAAATTGTGTGAAACAATAATAAATTATACTATTAATTTTACATTTATTATAATATTATTTTAAAAAATATATATATATATAATATAAAATTGTGTGACACAATCATAATAGTGTAGGTCTACCACATGGGTGTTGTTGTGACTAGGGATAACAATGGGTAGGATATGGGTTGGGCTTTTCGTATGTCACTTTTACCGTCATTTTTGCTGCTTGCTCCCACTCCTGACTTGATCTTCATAAAACTCTCTCACCCTGTATCCAAACTTGCAAATGTAACCCCCACTCATGATCCTACCCAATCCACAACACAATCATAAATTGAAAAATAATATTAAAACCAAATAAGTAAAACTAAAAAATGATATTTATAATTAAAAATATATATTATATATTGTACATATATTAAAATTATATTATATATAACATAATAGAAACTCAATAATATTTTGTGTAGATATTATATATATTTTATAAAAATTCAACAACATATTATACACAAATTACATATATATGTAATATTATCATTTATTTATTACTATATGTGTGACTCAAGTAGGGTTTGGGGAAAAAACACTCTCTCCCGCCCTCGACTTGAATCCAATCGAATTTTTTAAAGTTTTTTCAAATCTAACCGTACTCTATTCAACCATTCTCAAACCCCATCCCATTACAATGGAGTTGAGAAGAGTCGAAAACCGACGTATTTTGTCATCCCTAATTTTGACACAATTTTGTAACTATTGCACTAGAAATGCAAGCTACTTATGATGCTGATTAAAGTATGACTAATACATATGTAATGATGATTAAATTCAATGTACTTAGCCGAATTTGTTACACAATTTAGTCTTGTCATTAAACTAATTAACCCATATTTTTTAAATGATTTCACGGCTGCGACAATAAGTTAATGAATGTGCACGTTAACAAGAAATATTGCAAGACTGGACAGCCTATGGTGTCTACTCCATCACAAAGTAGCGTAATGTTATCATAAAATTTTATAATATCAATTATAAATTGTGTAATTTTGTCATAAATTAATATAATTAAACATCTAAAATTTTATAATTGATATTACAAAAATTTGTACTTAATTATGACATTTTTTGTTACACTAATTTATGTTGAAATTATGCATTTTATGATTGATATTATAAAATTTTGTTATAGAGTGCATAGGCTTTTCCTTGTAAAAAAGTTTCAATTTTTTTCAAAAAAAAGATATGAATATTTATAGTGTTTCATAATTATGTTATTTTGTAATGAAAGTTTCACATAACTAATTTATGGTGTGATGAATATTATGATTATGTTATAAACAATATAATATGTATGTTATGAACCATTTATGATAAGAAATGTTAAAAAAAAGTATTTGGAGGAAAAAAAATTACCACTGGTGGTAATATTTGTTATGAAACATCAAGATACTGAGATATGGACCTTTATGTTGAATAAAAAAAAAAGGGAAATCACAAAACAGATTTGATTTTTTTTTTTCATTTATGTTTTAAGTTTTTTTTAGTTTACTTCTAAAACTATCTTTTGTTCAAAATTAGATAAAAATGTTATAATAATTGTCACATAACATAAAAAATATATTATTATATTAGGTTTAAATTTATGTCAGATATGTGAGTTATATATAATAAAATATTTTTATGTCACATAATTATTCTTGTGTCATTTTCTGTCTAATTTTTAACTGAATTTAGTTTTAAGAATAAACTAGAAAAAATTTAAAATGTGAAAGGCTAAAGTAGGAAAAAAAATCAATGGCCAAAGTGAAGTGACCAAATATAAAAGGAGAAAAGTGGAATTTATCAAAAAAAAAAAATCAAATAAGAGAGGATAGGCAAAGAAGAAGGAATCAAAGGGCAGAGAGTGAGGAAGGTGCATCATTCACAATAGATGTTAAGGCTGGGAATCGTATGCCCTTTTTGATTTGAAGAGCATTTGACTAGGAATATAGAGAGCGCTTTTACCTATTCACACATTCACATATGGCGTTCGAAATGTCCAAAGACAGCGAATCTCCGGTCCAACCACTATCAAGTGTTACCGCGTTAAGTTAGGTTGGGTTGGGTTGGGTTGGGTTGGCTTCGCTTGGGCAGGTTTACTTGGTAGTTGGTGCCATTTGTCATCATCTACACTACTAATTCAATACATAATATAATTAACAAAAATGATTTAGACCTCTAAAATAAGAGTTCTAATAGAGCACTAATTTGTCTTTTTCTTCCCTCTTTTTTGTCTTTTACTTCACTATTTTTTTTTTTTTTTATTGGTTGACAGCTCATTAGAGCTGTCCTTTTGCAGCTCTAATTAGAGCTCCGGAGCATGACCCATCAATGTAATATACTAACATAGCTTTCGTTGAATGAATGCAAATTTCAAACAAGGAAATAACACTGTATTTGGATATAGATTTCAATAGAAATTTGAAAATAAAAGAGAAATGAAAAAAAAAAAAAAATTATATTTTATTAACAATTGTCTCACCTTTTTCTTTTTTTCTTTTTCTAAATTCATACCTAAATCTATGATTCAAAGAGATTGATTTGAAAAAGAAAAAGGAACTTAGGTAGATTTTTACCTCTCAAATGATGTCAAGAATAACCCGATCTAGATATGAATGATAAAATTCCAACACCATCAATCTTACTCAATCTGGAGTCATGGTGAGATAGAGAGATTCAACTTTGAATGAAGGGTGTACAGAAAAGAAAATTCTGCACAAATATAAAAAAATCATGAAGGAGGTAACACTTTACTTTAATCATGTCTTGATGCCAAGAAGATCTATGAAAATATTCATAGAAAAGAGTACATAATTTAAATAAATAAGTCCGCAAAATAAAAAGAAATACCTCTAAGATCTCAAGATTTTAGCACCATGTGAGATTTTAAATATCTTTCCTTGTCACCAACAAGATTCACAAGAATTTCCAAATCAGTATTCTTCAGCTTTGCATAGCTTAATGTCTTACCAAACCTTAACAATAAAAAAATTGAAAACTATAGCTTTTGCAAAATGTATTTATCAAATTGAAACAGAACATGATCAACCCATGAAAAAAGAGAAATGAAACAATAACTATCAGTCAAAGTTTTGATGTAAAAGTTTATAGTGGTTTGTTTAAACGAAGGATGAGACGAAACAACAATAATTTAAGCAAAGAATAGCTCACCTTATCTTTTTGCTCACCTATCTGCAGATCTTGCAAATTGTAAGTAATGAATAGAAGAAGAAATATATATACCGCACGTTTGTTTTTGGAGATAAGTTGACCGAGATTGTTAGGGAGCTATTAAAAAAATTGTGTTTATTTGATAAATAGTAGATTAGTAATATAGTTTTTGTTTGTTTTGGGAGATACGAATAAGATTAACTATGTAAAATTTTATAAATACTCTTATTGCATTTCTATTACATTTGGATTTATACCAACTAATAAATGCATTAAATATTTTAATATTAAAAATTATATTTCATAAATATGTATTTTTTTGGTACTATTTTATTTTTTTAATATACATTTTATTTGGTTTAAATATTATTCTACTATTATATTTTTATATAAGAATGACAGAGTAAAAAATGGTAGAATAATTAAAAAGATAATAGAGAAAAGATCATACTAATCAAGTAGAGTAAGTAAATTAGGTAGGATAATAGAAGACAAAATAGTAAATCCCCTTTAATCCCAAGTGATTGTTTTCTAATACTATCTTCCATGGGGGTCTACTAATCCTATCCATGGAGGCCTATCATAGTCTCCAGGTATTGTGAATCTCCTTTCTCATTTTGCAAACAAACACAGTATTAGTGAACCCCATATCTATCCTAATCCAATCTCATCACTTGTGACCCAAAACAAACAGACCCTATACATTGTGGTATTAGTTATAACTTATTGTGATGTTGGTTATGATATTATTTTAATTATGATTCAAAAGGTTTTGGTTATATCTTATGTGATGTTTGATTATAACTCAATTTTTTTAGTTATGATCCTAAAAAGATTCAATTATGACATTTGTGATAATTAACCCCAGAAAATATACAAAATATTACATTTGTGGTTGTTATCACAAAAGACAATGAAAATATTTCAAAATTTGATGATGTTAGCTTCCGATTAAATTATATATTTAATTAGTGGCGGGAGAGACTTTAGAGTTGTTTTTAGTGTTGACAAAGTATATAAAATGTATTAAGCCTTCGTTTGGGATGTGGGTTAACTTTTTGATTTTCTAACTTTTTGTCTATTTTAGCCTAGAGCTAAAAAGTCTCGTTTGAGATAAGCTTTTTGGCCTTTATGACTTATAGCGATTCAGGTTTTGACCTAACCTTTATTGCATTTCGGGCTTGGGTTTCGTGATTTAGTGTTGTTGTTCATCTATTTTCCCCTTGTTTTCCTTTAAGTTTGTCTTTTGGATTGTTGTGGTTGTGTTTGGGACATATTGGTTGCTTGATTTCCAAACTTTTGTTGCCTAGATTTTTGCTCCTCTGCTCGAGCGACACTTCTTGTGCTCGAACGGACTGTGCATATATCAGTTTACAACAGCACCTTTTTACATCACTTTTTCACATCTTTTTCTACCAAAACCTCTCTCTCTCTCTCTCTCTCTCTCTCTCTCTCTACATTTACACCTAGTTGTAGTGATATCTCTACCCACTTGTCTTTGTTAAAAAGTTAGAGCATCTCAAGGGCTACCCTTTGATCTGATTGAAACTTGGTTTCATTGTCCTTGAGGTTTCTCCATATCGCCCTTTGGTCTTCTAAGCTTGAGGTAGAGATTTCCTACACATATAATCATATAAATGGCACTCAAAATCATATTAAATATATAACCACAACTATAATTAAGATTAATTAACATAGCGCGGGACAGGGTTATCACACATATAGTAAACCAAGCCAAAACAGTGAATAGACCCATAACATTTACATACCGAAAATATGCATTAGCCCAATGTTTTGGGTGCAAATTTTTCAAGAACTCTCAACAATGGCTGAACTACAAAGTTTCGACGCTTCAATTTTCTAGTTAAAAGATGTGATAATAGGTGCATAAGCACATTCACAAAGCTTGCGCATCAATCCAATTTTGTGCTCGACGTTGACATTTTACATTTGGTCTCTCAAATTCATTTGAAGATGTAAAAGATAAAATGCGTGATGCGTGATGTGTGATGTGCCGAAACAAAAGTCAACGTCCGATTACGATCAACAACCTCCGACAAATGACGAAGAAACCACTCTCAATTAGCTGCATTTTCGGAATCAATAATCTCAAATGCGATGGGGAACAACCCTATTCACATTTTAAAAAAAAACGAGAACAAAAAATTGAAAACACATTACACATTGCCATGTTGGATGCACCAAAACACACACACACATACACACACCCTAGGTTAGGCAACTTGTGCTGTGGAAATTTACTGAAACAATAAAAATATTCACTTAGAAACACAATATCCATTACCTTGGTTCCCGTCCTTGACAGTAGCTGCAAGTACATTACCCTTGAACCTACCCTTCAGAAACGTACCATCCAAAAACAACAACGAGCGACAATTCTTAAACCCGTTTATGTATGCATGAAACGATATGAAATATTTAACAAACCTGCTGGTTTTCTGATCGAAATTAAGATTTATTTATTTATTTTTTTTCCATAACTGCATTGCTATACCACCTAAGTTGGTCGAATGATACAGCATGATCGCCATATACTTCACTTCTCACTTTTTTAACCCCAAGCCAAGCTACTCGGTAACTAATATTTAGCCTGTAATCATTTTTCAAATTGAAAACGATGTCAGTTGGGCGTGTCAACGATTGAGTACAAACACAATCTGCAACAACATCAGCCACCAAATCGGACCCAGTACGTAGGTTCTTGGTCATCAGTACAATAGCCCTACATGTGTGCAAGCTATTAAACCTCTTCACAGAAAAAATCCGTTCGATGCTAACACCCTCGCATGTACCAACCACGTACAACCTGTCAAATTTGCAAACTTGCACATAGCTATAACATTGACTAAATCATTTTTCACATATTTAAACTGAAACCACATTTGAAAGCGTATTTGGAAAGCACTGTCCAAAGTTAGTTCGCATCACCCATAAAAACCTAACCCACATTTGTAACACCATATGCCCATCCAGTCGAGAAAATTGATTTTGATCTATGCGGGCAATATGACAATAACAGATCCGTCCGGTCATCAAATCCAGACATCCTTTCACCACCGGAGCTGCTCCCATCCTCACCCGTGAAAACACCCTCACTGCTTTCCACAGCAGCAATAAAGTTGCATTTTTGAATAAGCACATCGATATGATCAAACCCAAACAACTTGGTAATGGACAACATGTTCTGAATATCCTCATCGCAAACAACTTTAACTTATTATATTCGGGCACAACGAACAATAATAACACCATTTCGGGTGCCAACCCATCGAACCTCTCACATATCCATCAACTAATTGCGCAAATATCAATGCTTGATGAAGGCGAACAACAACATTCGTTTGCCCGTATGTGCACAATAATAAACTAGTGAACACCATTCCTGTGAAACCAATAAAAACCTTAGAAAACCACTCTCAAAAAACAAAAAAAGATACTGCCCAAAACATCAAAACAAACCGCAGCCGCGTACAAACATCCCTTCCCAAAACATCATAATAACCCATTCCCAAAAAAAAAAAAAAAAATCGCCCTAAATGAAATCAACCAACACTTCCCTTGTCAGCAAGCCCACTGGCACCGAAAACCAAAAGGTAACCCAATAGACTTCCACTAATTCGAGAAAATGGTTATTGCGTTACAAGAAAATCAGTATCAATAATTGGAAATCAACCCACTGTATATCTGCACGAAACAAACCCACAAGATGGAAATATAAAGACATTATCCTCTACATCGTTCCGCACATCCCACCAAAAAAAAATACACCAAATCCCACCAAAGGATAAATATGTAAACTCCACACATGCCAAATCAAAGGAAAATATTCCTTGCCAATTAAATAGGACTAAATGGTTCACACACACACACACACACACACAAAAAGAGGGCTAAATGGATCAACATTCCCAAATTTGGGATTTACTGGTAATTTTTACTAGATTTTATTATAGAAAAAACTTAAATTTTATTTTTTCTTTAAAAGGTATTTTGATTTTGTTATGTATTTAAATTAATATTAAAATTTGATTTCTCAGTCTTGTCAACAAATTATATGAATATTGCATATATTGAAGAAGTAGAATTAGATAATTTAAATAATAATACTTTGTTACAAATAATAATAGAAAAAAATACATTAATTAAGTAATAAAAAGAATTTAACAAAAAACTTAAAAACAATCAATTAGAAATTATAAACGAACTCTGATATATAATTGTGAAGGGGTAAAAACATTCACCCAAAGTTCAGAGGTAAAAACACTGGCCCAAATCCCAAGCCCAGCCAAACAGAATGAATCAAGAGAAAAGCCTAGATCATCGATAGGTCTGTCAAACAAAGAGACCAAAGTTTGAGTAAAATTGCCTTCTAGAAGGAGATTTGCAGAATGCAGGGATGCCCTTTGATCCATTCATAATCAACGGTGAGGACCGTAATTGTCAAAGATAGGGGCATAGTTCCAGCCTACCCAAACGACATAACTATCCGATGATCTTAATCGGACGAAGGGAGCAATCGGCAAGTTGGGCATTAACACTTGACATAATTTAAGCCACATACAACAAGGTGATCCAACGATAAAGGATCAAAACAACCTAACAACTTGCCCGACCAAAGTCTGGTAGTAAGCAAAGCCTTTAGATTAAGATGTTAATCCAATGACTGAGGCCCAGGACAATAACATTATAAAAGGAAGAATAAGGACAAGCGAATCAGGTAACACAAAAGGAAAAACAAGTCTTATTTCTTAACTAAATACTATATGGCAAGTCTTATTACTAACTTGACCATCAGAGGGTCCTCTCGACCATCCCTGGTCGGGGGTGATCATTGACGAGTTAGTTTCTCTTTACAGAGTAAAAGACTGAGCACTTCATCTTGCTTTCGCTGTGGAGTAGATTTCTACCATCCATAATTGGCGTTGTTTGTAGGAAAGACAAAGAAGATGAGTACCTATCATTCTCTAGAAGATATATGAGCGATCATCAAAATGCACCGATCGAGAATATGGCCAGTTTAAACTTCAGCCATGATTCTGAGGGGGCACTCGAAGACTCAGAAAAAATAATCCCCCCACCAGATGATGATAA